CTAACAAGACAAATTAAATATCTGTGGATCTACTATTGACATCAGGATGATCTAAGTATCAAAATGTAGCTTTTAAAACCAAGAATCAGAAAATATAATGAGGTCATTTTGACCAAATTTGACTTAATCCTCATTTCGATGTGATGGGTCACAAATATTAGCATAGAAATTATGATCCTCAGAAATGTCTTTCATTCATATTTATATTGTAGCAAAACTGTTTAGTTGATTAATTAAGACAGAAAATGTTTTTAATCAAAAGCATCGTGTTCAATATAGAGATTTTAACGTGCCTGTGAAATGCTTTTTCTTCATTTACAAAAAAATTAAAGAAAATATCCTAATATTTTAGAAATTTGGCATCATTCATATGACTTTTACACAGTTTGTCACAAAACGTGCACATTGTTTGCTAAATTTGGTGCAGTCCAAGTGAAACAGGAAGTAGTGTCAAAGGGGAACTCTTTAAAAAAGGGTAACTTCCTGGTCTTTATAAATCTGACTCTTCTTTATCTGATAAAGACTCAAAATAATCTACAGAAACGTCTGATTCTTTGCCATCTGTTGTTAGCCGTTGTAACAACTCCTTCAGGCGTTCCCCTTTGACATCACTTCCTGTTTCTGCTCATGCGAATATCTCAACCACTGTTCATTTCAGTGTCGTGAATTTCTGTTTGCAGTTCATCATGAATGTTTTCTTTCCAACTATGCACTCAAATATATCCCTTAAATTTAATGTCACAGGCACTTTAAGACACAATGACGCCTGTGCTCCAGTTTTATCAGGTTGATGGTACGATTTGACTCAGTTGTGTGTAATAAGCGTTTTTATGTAACTCTATCTTCTTCTTACAGCTCTTCTCAAACCTGACGGCGTGTCAGGCCCTCGGGAACATGTGTGTGATGAACATGCACTCCGTCAGCAGTGTGGCCAACGATGCTTGTGGTCTCTTTAACACTATCTTCAGCTCAAAAACCACACTGAGCTCAGTTCAAGGCATTGCTTACTGGTAACCATGTCTGACTTTTTCCATCCTTGTGTGTTTGGGAATCCCAGTAAGGCTTGTTTTGGTTTGGTTTGATTTTGTATTTTTTATTTTTTTCTGCTTGCAGGAAAGCTAATCTCCCCTGGCTTTACTACGGGAACGAACCGGGGCTGGCAAGTCGTGTACTTCAAACAGATCCTGTTCCTGTCTCCTTCAGTTTAAGGGGAACTAAAAAAGTAAATGACCAACAATGTCATCTGTGCAAACAAAAATTGGCAAAGAAGAAGTCTAGAAGATGTTAAGTTAACCACATTTAAAGAAAGTAGTATAATGCAAAACTTTTTTTTAGATTTATTATTTTTGTATCACATTATGTCATTCTCTCATCAAAAACATACCCAGACAGAGGCCAATTTCAAGGTGTTTAGATAGACGATGATGCAAAGTCAAACTGATGTTTTTTACAGAAAGCTCATTCATAACAACTAAATGTAACATAGTACTTGATTGTGGTATAGAGATGAACTACATCAAACGATTTCCTGTTTATTCCAGATTCTCCCAGCTAAGCTGTGAAGCAGAAACGTTTTCTTGATAGACCCTTTTTTGTGTCTTTATGTCAGAATACAGACCTTCGTCTGCTTGTGGCGATCTACAACGTCAGAGGAGACTTCCTTAGATGGGAGCAAGTAGGAGGAAGTAACCTGCAGGTAAGCTTTCAAC